TTAAAATATGTAAACCAACTGTGGCCGTTTAATAAGTCATTAAGTGATTAAGAAATGATTCTAAGTGCTCTGGTAGTTTTTAACGCGGTTTCTGCCACCTCTTCATGACACACTCTTCATATCACACTTAAAATAAAATGTAATCCTCAAATAGCCAGGATCACACTGGCCTTCATAATCTGTGACCAGTGTGATCCTGGCTATTTGAGGGTTAAATATTAATATAAGTACACACAGTCTGTGAAAAATAGTTGTTTTAAACTTTCACATTATTTACTGGCCTGTACAGTAAGGTCAAAAAGTTATTATTACTATGATCAACTGTCCACTAAAATGGACAAATTAGATAAGGCCTAATTCCTCCACAGCGCCCCCTAGACAGTGATGTGCATTGCCGAATGCAGTGGCCCAAAAAGTGGGTATGCAGCGCATGCAACGCATAGGGGCGCTGCACCAGAGGAGGCGGCCCCCCGATGATGCCTTCGCATACAACTCACCGCGCCCTTACGTTCCTTCACCTCGCCCCTGGCCTAATGGACCGGTGCGGGAACTGCGTAAGATCAGTGACTACAGCGAGTGGGTGGCGTTGCTGGTGCTCTCACGGTCGGCGGAAGTCATGAAGCTGGAACGGAGCTGAGCTGCGAGGGCAGCTTTAATCTCTACTTATCTTTTCCGATGTAGCTATTCTTGGTGAAGTGTTTTTGTATTCATGTCACCGAGAGGCGCAGGGGAGTTAAATAATTACATAAAACTCAGAATTTAATGTGATCTGCTGCTTTCCTTCTATTTACTTCCTTCCCAAGTAAATACTTGGGAACAAAACAAATTCAAAAGGATACTTAGACCATTCTTGACTGTTTCTACAAAAGTGAGCAACGACCCTGCTATGTCACAGAGATATTTTCAAAATGCATGACTGTGTCTAAACTCCTCAAAATCGTAAGTAAATGTTTCTTTTATATCCCCCTGCTCATTTGGGTTTGCTTTGTGGTGAATAAAATATGTCAGGAAAATATTTATATCAAGATGATCAGCTTCTGGCTGCTACATTGCTTGGAAAGCAGAAAGGACAGACTCGATTTTCCCAGGCATAGCTTTTCCATTTTGGTTTTATTGTGTTTTACATGGTGGAATCTGCTGTGTGTTGTACATTTGAAATTAAATTTAAAAAACTCAGAGACTAACTATTTAACATGCACTTTTAAAAATATGGTAGCTCTTGCTCCATTGTTCAGGATTCTTTGACTTATATATTGTGTTTTCTGAATCCACTGATTTTTAAACTTCAAGTCTTTGAACTGATCATCAGCCTTAAATTAATCTTTGTGCTGGTCTTCCCCAGGCTCCTGCATATCACCTAATTCTGGAGGGCATCTTGATATTATGGATAATCAGACTTTTATTCTCCAAGACCTACAAACTTCACGAGACTTACAAACTGACAGAAAGGGTGAGCATAGCACAGTAAATGCCAGATTACTAAAATTTCTGAAATTGTACACCATCAAACAGTTATTACCTGGATTTCTGTTACAGGAAAAAGAGGACCTGATAGAAGAATGGCAGCCAGATCTTCTTGTCCCTTTAATTTCAAAAGACCATCCTTCCCTTAAATACAACATTGTTTCAGGGTAAAACAATGTTTTATCCTTTTTCTTTCTTCTGTAATTTCACATAATTAGACAAGAAAAAATTCTAATATGTATCAGTCAAGCTAGATTATGTTGCACATTGAATTTAACATTTTTGGCAGTTTCTGATTTGGAAGTACTGTGAATATTTCTGCAGAACCTAGACTTACTAATGTGTACATTTACATCAGTTCTACAATGACTGTAGAACTGGCAGCAGAGAGTGCAGGCTCAAAGACCATAACAGTCATGTCCTTTGAGCTTCCACTTTCCACTGAATGTCCTGAAGGTACACACAAGCCTAGAATTTTCCCAACCTGTAGGATGTGAATTACAGTGATAGGGATGGTGGTGGTTGATTGATAACCAAATGGTTATCAGTGATCCTTCTGAAAGGGCCTTCTATATTAATAGAAGGCCCTTTCTAACATGTAGAGCTACTGCATGTAGAGCAGTAGCTCTACATGCTTCAGGCATATAGAGCCTAAATTAAAGGAGAAGAGACATCCCACATTTTCAGGTCTGAAAAACTCTTGTACTGTGTGCTTGTACTTCAAATTGCCTGTGTCTTATATATATGACTTGTTTTTCATTTTTAGACCACCCAGCCATAAAATCATAGTCAATGGAAAAGAGTGCATTAATTTTGCCTCCTTTAACTTTTTGGGACTCCTTGACAATGAGCGTGTGAAGGTAATTAAAATATTTTTTATTCACTTTTATTAGTTTGGATTTAAAATTAATTAACTGTGATTTCATTTTTAATTGTTTTGTTTGCTAATAACAGGAAAAGGCTTTGATGTCACTAAAAAAATATGGTGTTGGCACATGTGGTCCAAGAGGCTTTTATGGAACATTTGGTAAGTGAATATTGCTGCTTGTTGTCTTCTGGAGAAGTAACTACACAAATTGAAACTACAAAAATAAATATGCTTAATATTTATTAAGCATGTTTAATGCTTAATAGATATTAAGCATTAAATACGCTTTTTAATCAAAAAACAGTTTTTTGATTAAAAAGTTGTTGCGCTGGGATGAAATGATTTTTCAGTCATATCAAAATAGATACTGCGAAATAGATATTGCATTACTTGTGTGATGCACTTTTTTGCATCACACAAGGTAAGATAAGGTAATTTTATTTATATAGCACAATTTCAGCAACAAAGCAATTCAAAATGCTTACAATGCAATTGAAAGTGCACAAGTCATGGGACCAACAGCCAGATGTTAGCGAAAGCCATGAAGAAGACAACATGAAGTAGTCTTCTTCATAGTTTGTTTTTGTTTTTTTCCGACAATGTGAAACTGGCTCCACCAGAGCTCTCACAGCATCACACAGTTCATAAAACATTGTGCATCTTTGGAACGTGCTGAATCCATCGTTCTTCTGTAAAATCATCAACTGGAGCTAGTTGCTCCAACATAAGACGCTGACGTCTCCTCTGATGGATGATAGATGAGTGCTAGCACCATGGCTGAATTATGAATAATATATTTCATGAAACTGTTTACTTCCATTGCTGCCATTATTTTTTAATGATTAGACAAAAATCTGCACTAGATATAATTTTCCTGAAAAGGACCTGAAGGACCTTCACCACTAGACAGAAAATACCTTTGTTAGTTAGTCTACAAGATTGAGAGAGCAATTGAGCAAATTCATAAAATATCTTCAAGGCCCATATCTGAGAACTTCACAACTTCTACTCCATAATTAAGCATTGTATTATCTGTATTGATGGGGCATTTTTTATTCCTTCTGAACAAAATTGAAACATTTTCAATTTCTGATCCAAAACTAGGTTCAGCTGTATTTTACATAGACATTTCTGTATATGAACAACACAGCTCATTTTCAGATTAGTGTAAGAATATCTTGATTTACAATGGGTACACTGTCTTATGGTTAGGCTGGCATTATTGACCAATCCTATTTATTTTGTCTCTTTCATACATATATAGATCTACTTAGCAGTTTTCCTGATCTGATCTACTCGGTGCTTTTCCTTTCACTGCTTCCCTTGTTCTTCCTGTTCCATACTACCCTTTTCTCCAGATGTCCATTTAGAACTGGAGAATCGCCTTGCCAAATTCATGAAAACAGAGGAGGCCATTATCTATTCATATGGCTTTGCAACGATGGCTAGTGCGATTCCGGCCTACTCCAAAAGAGGGGACATGATCTTTGTGTGAGTCATGTTTACTTAATTCCAAGAGACATTTAAAATGTGAATGTGGGTTCCTTATTATTTCGATTTCAACTCTCATATTGTTGGTTTTGTTTTTGGTGTCCAGGGATGAAGCTGCCTGTTTCTCCATCCAGAAAGGCCTTCAGGCATCCCGCAGCTTCATCAAATACTTCAAACACAATGACATGGAGGATCTGGAGAGACTGCTAAAAGAACAAGAGTTAGAGGACCAGAAGGTTAGTACCAGTTTAGGTAGTTTCATTCTAACTTTTAAGTGTCATGCTGTCAACTGTCAAATAATTTTATAGCTGCAGATTGTATACCTGTAAACCTGTTTAAGTTAATTTTTTTATTCTGTAGTTTTTTGCCTTCACATTTTTAAAATTGTAATGTTTTTGTTACAGAATCCTCGTAAAGCTCGAGTGACGCGGAAGTTCATTGTGGTTGAGGGAATGTACATCAACACAGCAGATATTTGTCCTCTCCCTGAGCTGGTAAAGTTCACAAGTAATACATTTCAAGTAATATAAACTAAATAAACCCCTAAATGAAACACTGCTTCAGAATTATGGGGAAGGGTCCTTTGGCAGATTCCACAACATTTTTTTCAGTCTTGGTTTGAGAACTATTGCTATTGGTTTGTAAAATGGAAATTATTCTGAGAACAAAACTAGGTCTTGTTGCTCAAAAAACAGAATGCACTATTGGACCTATAGGCCAATAGTGCATTTATAAAAACAGTGTTGTGTGTTTGGTATAGAGGCAGGGTTTAGAAACACTTCTTAATCTGACTCCTGACAAACATTTACTTAGCATTGACATTACTTTTTGCACTGTCTGACAATATGACCAATTTCAGTTGGATTGGCTAACTAAAACAGAAAAAAATATAAAAACAAAGCTGTGTGAAGGACCATCTTCTAATTTCAGTTTGATTTGTAAACACTGTTTTAAACAACCTGTGGGGTTTATGAATGCTTTACCATCTCTCTTAGCTGTTTGGTGATATAAGTAGAAACAGAAAGCATTGGAAAAGAGGAGTTACACAAAGCATTTGAACCATAAGTTTAACTACACCATTTAACGATTCAGCTTCAGGATAAGGAGTCTTCATCCATCATTTATAAACATTCTCTCAAAATAAAATGAATTAAAGCTGTAAGCAGTGTTGGAGGCCCTCACCGCTCAGCCCCGCTCTGGCCTTATGGCAACCACGAGATGTCCAGCAACGCCACCTGCTTGCCACTGTTAACGCTCTCACACAGTTCCTGCACCTGTCCAGGAGGCGAAACACATGATGCACATTTACGTGTTCAGCAGTGCTCTGACGATGCACAAAAAATCTGGTGCAGATTGGTTGATGTATTAAGGAGATATAGCTAGTGGGATAATCTAGGGGTGCAGTGGAGTCAAATTACAATTTAATGCTATTGGGCTCTTTAGAGCCCAATAGCTCTAAAGTCAAGGCTTATGCCTTGACTTATGCTTATGATAAGTCAATCATAAGCACCAAACTTATGATTGACCTGCATGTATGATTTAGAGACTATCGTATGCAAATGTCAAGGGATTAGAATTTGCCATGATTTACCATCATGTTGTTGTATTTTATTAAACACAGGTTGAACTCTTAATGAACCATAGGGTGAAAAGAAGAAAAACAGCAGGAAAACGGGTGACTTCTTGTGGAAAGGGGGAAGGGAGTAAGGTGATGTCACCTTTTGACAATGTGAATGTGATGAACTCTGGTCTGTGATGAGTCAAAGAAAGTTTGATGAAGCTGGGAGCTTATGTGGGGAAGTTATTCCATCTTGATGTTTCATAGCATATGGTCAGATTTCAGGCTTGGCCAAGCCCACGTGCTTTGATGTACTAAAAAGATTTTGATAACTATCAACCTTCCATGCCTCAAGACTTTGCTGACTGATTTTGAAGCCTGGATCTCAAAAGCTGTAGGAGGAGTTCATTCACATACAACATGTGTAACAGAGACAAAATGGCGGCCTTCATCCAAAACGGCCGACTTCCTGATGGATTTAGACCAGGGGTCTCAAACTCAAATTACTCGGGCGGGGGGGGGGGCCGCTGGAGGCAGAGTCTGGGTGCGGCTGGGCCGCACA